ACGGTTGGGTGAGCGAATTCGCGCCGCACACGAACGAAGGTAAACAATCAAGATGGCCGAGTGTTCCCCGTGTTGCCCTCGCCGTCAGTGCGGTCTGACAGGAATTGTCGGACAACCAATCGGGCAACACGGTTGCCGGGCGGGAGCAACATGTTACCCGACTGTTGTTGTTGCCGCGATGTGACAGGGTCACCGGCAACACGACTTCCCCGTGTTGCCGGATAGAGTTGTCCAACTGCTGCCTCAGTGTGACAGGGCCTTAAGCAAACGAAAGGGACGTCAGGAGCCGCATGGCCATTGCATCAACGATGGCCGCGCTCGAGGCACTGCTGGCTTTCACGACGTGCTGGAATAGACGCTGCGATTGCTATGAAGTCAGCTCCAAGCCTTAAACATGGCCCATCCTATAATATTTGATGCCACGATTGTGCGTGGATACCTCCCCATGCGTTTCGAGACAGTAAGTACGTCGCTAGCGCGCGCTAACGTCGGCCATCGGCGATGCAGCAGACGCCGCCATCTTGTCCTCGCCCACCACCTCAACATGGCGGAAACCACGACCAACTGTAATCCTGACCTGCCGACAGAAAGGCCCCCGTATGGGACCAGCTGTCGCCGGCGGAGTGCCTGGTTTCTCCGTTGAGGGCGCGCTGTAAAGGTTTTTCTGGGACCCACACGCAGCTCATATAGCCTGCTTTCCCTGCGGCCTGCCACCCCTGCCACTAGCGGATTACCGCTTACTGATCTCTATTGTAGTAGGCTAGATCGCGGATCAGGACCTAATCGGTGCCGCCACCGGCGGCCATTGCTTGACACCAAGCAATACACGCAAGTCTATGGGAGAAGCATGTACGCTGTGCTCGGAGGCGAGTATATTGTGACAGAACGAGCGGGTTGGTATGGATAATTAAACTTGAGAAATTTGCCGCCTTCTCGTTTTCTTCCTCAAGTTTAATTGAGTATATTGTGGCGTGCTCCGACCCTTATGTCGGTTGTTTCGAGATAGAATCGGTATTTGTGAAACGTTCGAACCCCGATTAGATAGATCAAACGTACCGGAGCACCTACGGCCGAGCTGGCAAGCTTGCTCTCGTTGTGGAGTAAACAAAGGAATATGCCGTCAATGAGACCGTCCTGGGGGAAGCCCAGGAATTGATGAATGACAAAGAAGTTCCCTCTCGACAGCGCCTTTCCGGGAGTGAGCGAATTCCGCGTAGCAAAGCCTTCGAGCGTGTCGTCTGCTGAACCCAACTCAACGAAACCACCATCAACTCCGCGTTAACTCTAGGTAACTCTCGCCTCATTGAGCTTCACTACAGCGGAGTGCCTCTCGACCACAAAATATTTATTTATAAGAGCTGCGAGGGCTGTCAGTTTTAATGTTTGTACACAAGCTATTTGACGGGCTTATCGAAAAACATACAAAAGTTACAGTGCCGTCAACGGCTTAGAAACGGGGGAAACGTAACTTTTTTTCGTTCTTCCCATAGAGTCCCATGCATTGGCTGGTGTCAATCAATGGCCGCCGGCGGCGACACTCGGCGCCAGCTGTCGAGGCCGCGGTCCGCGATCCAGCCTACTACAATAGAGATCAGTGTTAGCGGTCTTCCTTCCCTTACGCAGGGGTCCACCTCGCCGCAGAGCGAGGTGGACTTCTGCGTAAGCCTCATTAGAAGGGACAGGTTCTGGCGTGCTGTCTTAAGCCCTGACCGAGCGGCCGAGCCTCGAGTTCGAACGGGCTTGCGAGCCCCCTACTCTTCTCCTCCCACGGTTGACCGCACCTGCCGTACGTGGCAGCCCTCGTTCGCTGGCTACTTAGCCACCATCCTCGTCGTACGCGGTAGGACACTTGACCCCGCGTCTCGCAATCGTAAGGGCGTGAGGCCAGTTATTTCCAGTCGTTTGATTGTATCGTGTACTCCGGGAAGCTCAAGTAAAGTTTTTGTGTTACTAATCGAACGCTAACCTTCTTGGCCGTCCGTCACCCGAGTCCTCGCAACCTACAGGCAGCCCTACAGCAACCCGCGTCGTTCCATGGTTTCCTGGTTCCCGACGGTAGACACCTCCGCGGTTCCCATCGAGGTCTATGACAACAACCTTACAACGAGTAGGCGTATACGATGTCACTATGCGCCCAACAAGAAAAGAAGAAAAAGCACGTACCGTCGGAGACGCACAGTGCGAGGAGACCCCGCATCCAAGTCGCCCCTAAAGGCTCGGTTGATGCGATGCCACTTGCCGCGCTGGTCCACGTTTTCATCCAGTTGAGTTGCCATCCGAGAGCCACCGCGCTTGCCACGAAGGCGAGCAAGCCGATGGGAAGGCAAGGTCCGGCCAGTCTTGTCATGGAACACAACAGCTGCCAGGCACCCTAGGTGTACGTGCGATAAATACTTTGTACAATTATTAAAAAAAAAATTGCGAGTTTGTTTTTCAGCGGAACATGGAGACAGCTACCCACGGCGAATGACTAATGGAGTCCAGCGAATGATGAAACTTAAAATGTGTTTAGATGAGGAGATAATGCAATGTCCGCAGGGAAAATGAGCAAGTCAAACGTGATGCTAATTGTCCCTGCGCGGATCGCATATTTTGGTCTAACCGTATTCCGACCAAAAGCAGAATTCTACTAACTCGACAAAATGTCACCGCGCTTCTAAAATCTTCACGCTGGCAGGAAAAAAAGAAACGCCGTTGTTAAGGGCGTCGGTCAGTACTGCAATGTTCGTACATTCTTTTTCAATCGTTTTGCATTCGTTGCTCTCTGCTTTAAAAAAATTTGCGTTTCTTGAACATAATTTTGTTATCATAACCTAAACACAGAGACGTGGTGAAGCAAAATAACGAACATGGTGACAAAAAATATTCTTCTCCTTTATTGTCCCTTTTTGTTTCTTGTCTCAGTGTTTAGATTGTGACATCCCCTTATCAGCACGCCTGCATACTTTCGCTTCTTGTAAGTATATTAGGTTTAAATTTTGTAGATAATGTAGTGATTTTGCTCCCTCCATAGATTTTAGTTAGCGAGGTATTTCGCGTTGCGGCGGAACAGTACCTTGGTAGATTCGGTGTCTTCGTCAACAGTCACTCGTCCATTCATACCCTCTCCGCTCAGCTCAGTGTCGCGGCTGCTGAAAGATTATAGAAATTTTACTTAAATCCGCAGAAAGACTTTTTGATATCACTAGTTTAAATTCGCTTCTGGACAGGGTTAGCTTGACAGATTCTGGTGAGCTTCTTGTAAGAAAAAATGAAGCCGTTTACAGCTCCCTGTAACGCCGAATTAGAGCGCAGCTTTTTAGGAGGAGGAGGGAAGGGTACTGAGAGGAGGGTATACCCCTCCTCCCTTCTCCTCATCTCATCATCCTGCCTGCTACTCTTTCCTTCGAGGGGCGTCGCCGTCGCCGTCGCATTTGGCGTAACCGTGAGGTCACGTGACCTTCGTGACCTCACCGGGGTCACGTGATCTCACGAGGGTCACGTGACCTCACGGGAGTCACGTGAATTCACGGGGGTCACGTTACCCCCATGACCCCTGTGAGGTCATGTGACGATGGCGATGACGTCATCGTTATCGTGATGACGGCACGTAACGTCATTGTCACTGATGACCTCACACGTGACGTCAGTGATGACGTCATCGTCGTGGCTACCATCACTGATGACGTCACAATTGACGTCACGCGTCATCGCGCGGTTACGCCGACGGCGACGGAGACGGCAGTGCCGCACAAGCCGGAAACGGGCGCCTAAGAGCTGCGCTTTAAAAAACACAAAAAACTGAGGACCCTACATAAAACAATACTCTCGGCTAATCACTCCTTCTAGCATGGTCGTGAATCTCTGGTTCTTTCATTAATGGCAATTTGGACGCTTGCGTTTTTTCAATCGTTATATGGAGCATCCCTGTTACACTACGCTAACAAGAGAGTGGACTAGAAACAAATTAAACAGAAAAAATACGTGCCAAATCCATCATCTCCACAAATAGACGCAAAAGGAGACGTTTTTCCTTAACCAAGCATGGTTGCTTCGTTTTAATTCAGCGATGTTAAGTTGCGAAGCACCTTTATCACAAAGTTACTTCAAAGCATAATTTTCGTGAACATCTTACAGCTATTTACAGATTTTACAAAACATATATTATATATATTTTATAAGATATAAACGTTATGTCCGAATATAAGAAAACGTAAAGAAACTGTATTCAAATAAACGCGTAACTGGCTCCTGTTCTACGACTATGCGGAGCGCAATTTCGTCTGCTTCTTTTTGCGGGAGTTGTGGCGACGTCAGAACGCCCAATTCTGATTGGCTCTGATCGGAGGGTAGTGGGTAGACCTCAAGGCAAGGCGCCTTGAGGTCTACCCACTATCCTTCAGTCAGAGCCAATCAGAACTGGGCGTTCTGACTTCGCCACAACCCCCGCAAAAAAAAAGCAGACGAACTTGCCCTCCTCCGCATACTCCGTATCCCCTTTTTGTCTGAGACCGCAGGATTCGATGGAATCAATCAAGCAGGTCCAAAAGTGTAGAATCACGACACTCGTTTTCTTCGAGGGTTTGCTGTCACCTGCTAACCCAATCGCGCACAGAAGACGAAAGCGCAGTATCGCAGAGCATGCATTGCGGGTGATTGGTTTCGTCGGCTATACATCGCAGACGCAACAAAGACGACGAGCACAGTGGCGACGCCATTTTGGCGCCGCTTGATCCGTTTTATCGGATTATGACGTCACTTGCGATCGGCCTTACAACAAAACGGAGTAGGGGAGGAGGGCAAGTTCGTCTGCTTCTTTTCCATGGGCTCTAAACTGGTCAAACACAAAGTTGGGGCCGAAGTTCACGGAGCGCGCTGAATGGACCATCACGACGATGACTTTGCGCTTTTGTCGCCGGCGTCCAATCGGCGCTTTGCAAATTTTCGGCTCCAACTTTGTGTTTGACGAGTTTAGAGCCCCAGTTGCAGATCAACGACTTCGTGACGATGGCAAAAAAACCTCACCGGTACTCGTTGTTGTTGTTTTCAGCGGCATTCGAGACGGCCCCCTGACGAAGTGTTTCCGGCGCTCCAGGATCGTTTAGCAGATCCTCGAGAGAGTCGTAAACGACGACGCGTCTGTCGTGAACCAACACCAGCGTGTCCATCTGATCCAGGAACGATCCCTGGTTGCACGCCATAATGCGCGTCTGCGAATAAGAGATAATTACAACGACGAAGGGCCAAACCGGAAATTTCGCGTGCAAGAATAGTTTGGAAAGAGAGCTGTCATTGTTACCGACATCCTAAGAAACGCACAGTCATTTCATTATCACTTCCGCAGCCCTTAAGATTGCGGCAAGAGAGACGCCGAACAATAAATCAGCATGCAAGAAGCGACACTATTATAAGCCTCGTCCTGCTTTTGTTTTTGAAAAAAAAAATGCAGTCCTCCTTAGTATTATTTAGGATGACCACGCGTCAACTATTACGACCTAGTTCTGTCTAAATGTTTCTTAAACGGTCCGACAAAACTTTGCAAAGCGCCAACTTGCCGAAATCGGCTGACTCGAGCGGGTGAACTGAGACGCTACCAAGAGCGTAGTCGAGGTTACGGCGTTACCGTAGCCAACATTGAGCTAAACGTCATCATCATTGCCCCTTTTTGTTTGTTTTTACTTTTCATGGCAAGCGTAACCAGGTGACGTCATCAACGTTTCCTCTCGGCGCTCAGCGCTGTCCACGTGATGGGCGTATCCTACGCAACGCGCTTTTTCAACCGCGTCGCCACAACCGCCGTCGTCATCTCACCGTTTGATTATTGTCTCTCCAAGTTTCGTTCACACTACGCATGCGCAGACTGGTGCCGCAGTTGTGCAGACGTCGTGGGATATCGGATAGACACCAAAACGTGGTGAAGACTGCGATGCAGACGACACTTGCGCCTGGCCGTGCGCCGGGCACACGCCCGCCCGCATCAATGGTGGCCCTCCCCGATCTCGCCCGTCGTTGCGTAGAGGATCACGTGACATCACGTACCACGTGATAGCCATGTTTTTGGCGGCCCCAGGCCAATGCCGCCTGACGGAGCCGAAGTTTCGGTTTTGATTTCTGCTCGTGTTTAACGTAAGATTTAACAAAATGTATCTCATTTCTCGCGAAGCAATTGACGTAGTGCCTTTTATTAGTACTTTTTACTGTGAATCACTCATTGTCCCGAAATTTTTGGAATTGAGCGGAGTTTCTCTTTAAGCTGTCAGCGACCTTAAAAAGCGCAGATACTCTATGCCTGCTCCTCTACTTTCCAGTAAAGCACGTGGTGGTTCAATCGCTGCGATCGGCGGAGCTCGTCTAGAGCAAGAACAGTATAGGCAAGCGAAACCATGCTCTGCTTGTCCCTTGGGCAGATTGCATTTTTTTGAAACTATACATTTTCTCAGTCGTTGTTATTCGCTTCACACGCTTCGTCAATAGCGCTGATTGACTCCATGTCTTCTCTGCTGTAAACTTGACGAGCAAATGCTTGTGAAGAACACAAACGAAAAGAAAGCATAGTGCACACCTACAACGTTAGTTCCCCGTGCGCTCTTAATCCGACCATGCATTCTTCTCAGGCGCTTGATTAGACAATAGTCTACAGTGGCACATACAATAAAAAAAACGACCAACGCCGGGACCGTAAGCTCCTGACGCTTAGCGAACAATGGAAGGATCACAAAAGGACGCAGCTCAACATAGGATTCGACTAAAACAATTGAGCACGACGTCTCAATTGCACATTGTTTCCGCCCACAACGCGCTTTTCAGGTCTAACCGTAATCTTATTTTTATCATTCGCTGAACTCCTATATCTTGCCATGATTCGCAGTCTTCGTGTTCTGCAGAAACGTGAACTCACAATCTTCTGTAGAGTGTAGCGTCGTCTGTGCTCTCTAACATGTTGGAACGAATTGTATAGATTCAGGTGCTTTTGGACACCGTTTCCTACAGCAGGACTCTGCTGCTTGGTCAGTCGTCACAGCTGTGCAACAGTCGCTTTGAAAGGTTGGCACGTGCATAGTGCTTTTCTTTTTTTTTTCTTCTTTTTTTCGCGTTTTTTTTTTTTGTGTCGTTTTCAAAATAGGATGACGATCCGGAATATTCACCAGCCATTGTAATGCAATAGTAGATGCACTTGTTACTTTTTGAAGTAGCGTCTAGTTAACCCTTTTACATCTAGTGATTGAATCGAATCTATATCTTGTTTCAGCAGAGTGTTCTGTAATGGAAAAGGCAACCCAATAAATGTAAACGCGATGGTACCTTTCCTTTGAGGACGCCGTCTTTGCCGATCACCTCGTTGAATACTTTTTTTGAAACGACTGCGTCCAGAGCACTGAGAGGATCGTCAAGAAGGTAAATGTCTGATTGGCTGTAGACGGCCCGCGCCAAGCTGATTCTCTGCTTCTGTCCGCCGCTCAACGTCTCACCCTGTGAAAAGAACGACACAGTCAAGATGATGAAGTCTTTATGTGTACCTGAGTCGCTGCTCTTTGTACACCTATGACTTTCGCTCCCTAAATTATGGTGATTACATTTATTTCGGTCAATAAAAGAACTCATTCGATGTATCCCAAGTTCCAGGGCTCATAATATTGTCTAGACTAATCTTTCACACTTCGCCTTTAGAGAACCAGTGGTTCTTAGAAATTAAACACATCCATCATACCGCATGTGCACTAATGCTTTAAAGCAATAATAAATGGCTTGCAAAAATTGTTTTCTCAACGTATCGCGCTGCTATTTGGTACAGAGGTGCGGCCAGGTGGTGGATGTTTCATGTGAAAATATCAAGGGATAAACTTACCTCTTTAACAAAAAGGAACCTGTATTGCGCATTCTATGGCGGCATTCGCAGACGGTACTCGCCGACTTGTACGTGTTGCCAACAGAAGGCGCAACGTAAGACACGAGAGGACTAGACAGCCCGTATTAAGGCCTGCCCAAACACGACACTTAAGAAATCGTGAGGCGACGCGATTCCGTTAGAAATCGTGGAGGTGGAAGCGTCCGGCAGACCGATGCCTGCTTGAACACCACCAAGCAAACATCACGATTATCCTTCTGTTTACCTCCGCTTTTCGGCGCCCTCTGTGCTCGACAGACTTGACGTCCCATGCCACCTTCCAATGCTCTCCATCTGTCCTGCCTGGCCCTCGTATCGTTGGCCTTGCTCCAAGACGTACTCCATCTCACTCCAGGATTACGGTTGTGCAACTTTGTGTCCGAAAACCTATTCGTGTCCAGCGTCGCTCTATCTGTGTTATCACGTGACAGAACCCCGGAGTAGCTCGGATTATATTTGGGTAAGATTTCGAACACAGTCCTTCCCTTTCCCGTTTTTGGGATCGGAAGACCAGCGGAGACTTTGAGCGATTGACCGACAGCCAACAGAGCTTGTGTGAGTGGCTGTCCGGACCCACATGATGAGCATGCTCAAGGCCCCCGTGGAGGACACGGGCAAAATTTGACGGAGGGAAGTTTCTTCCCTAACAAAAAGAAAACGACCGGAAGCGGACCGCCGCACGACTTATGCGGGAGTCGTGTCGCCTCACGATTTCTGAAGTATCCTGTCTAAATGGGCGTTTACAGAGAATTTCCAATTGCTTGATCGAGGTCACGTGGTTTACGAGCTGCGTTTGCAATACGAGCTGCGAGAAGGTGCCGAAAGCGTTGATCGTCTGCAAACATCTTCGCCTTACCGCATGCTTAGAGCCTCGCCACGGGACAACTCAGCGCATGTGCAATTTCGAGCAATCTGCACTGGGGGCGTCCGCCATTATATTCCAAATGCTCCACATGATTTCAGAAGGACCCTCTCTTTAATGTAGGCTTTCTTGAGAGGTTGCGGCGCCCCATTCAATCATCTCCGTACAAGAAATGTGTGTCTGTGTGTCCGGGGGGGGGGGAGGCTAAAAAATTTAAATCTATATTTTTTTTTTTTAACAAATGATTGCACTTTGGAAATTGTACATTCCAGAGACACGCGACGCGATGCATGAAGCCTAATGAAAACTTGGGGAACATCGTCTGCTAAGCTCGACGCCGGCGCGCACTCGACGCTTCCAGGATCTGTTGGCAGCATTTCGCAGACGTCAAGCACCGTCTGAGAGTGCAGCCGTTTGCCCAAAACAGGCTTTTTTTTATTTTCGTTTGAACGTGACAAGCTCGTTCGTTTATATTTTCGCCCCAAATTTCCAATACCTAGCCGCGCCTCTTTATTAAATCACAGCGCTATACGCTGAGAGACCAATTTTTTCTAGCCGTGTAACGTGGGGTCGAAGCATCAGTGTACACATCGTATAACCCCACCATAGCTAGGCAAACATCTCCTAGACAGCAAGGTCGAAGTGTTGAACTTTTGACATCAGCTAAAAGAGGCAAACGCGGAGCACTCATTGGACTGGACCGCTGCGGCCGGGTTCGGCAGGAACTCGTGTTGAAGCGGTGAGAACACGATTGCAAGCCAAGCGCTGACGCCACAGTCATACCCAACCTGTCCCACGTTAGCCTCTTTTAGGTGACGTCGTGAATTCAGCACTACGGCCTTGCTATGTAAGAGATGCTGGCTAGGCCTAAAGTCGAGACTGCTTTTCGAGGTAGTGCGATGGCGCTGTCTTCCCCCCTTCAGCTTCCATTTCAATCGTGTTGCCTAACGTAGTCTGATAAGTGTGAGTTCATATATCCACTCAGTGTGACATTCACGGGAGTAGTGTTTAGAATACGGACCTTCTCTCCCACTTCGGTTAGATCCCCGGCTGGAAATGTGTTTATGTCCTCGTGAAGTTGGCAAGCGCCAAGCACGCGGCCATAGTCTTCGTCCTGCATGGACTTTCCGTAAAGGATGTTGGACTGCACACTCATGTTGTGGACGTTGGCGATTTGCGGGACATAGGCTACGCGGCCCTGAAACAGAATATTTATTTATTTATGCACGTATTTGCACTGATTTTCAAGTACAGCGTAAATGCGAAGAGAAGACAAAGAGTCAGCGGTACATTCGTTAAAAATATTAATATCATGGCGGCACTTAGCAGCTAGAACATAGTCGATATCTCATGGGTGCGCTTGAAACCATTATTGCCAGAGTAAGTGCACGAAAAAAGTACCTTGTGATCTCTCCGTCTTTGTCGGAAGAACGGCAACCAGCAATACTAATGCCGCCTAATGGTCTTTTTTATGCGTGGAGCACAAGCAAGAAGTAACACAGTGCGGCCGAAAATCCCTGTTTTCAAATTTAAGGCAGCGGACGAAATTGAAAAACTGGCAAAGCGAGAAACACGGTTCAGCTAAGGGGGGGTGAAAGAATTTGGCAAATGATGTGACAAAAAAAAGTTGACAAAACAGAAAACGAACAAAGTTAAGAAGATGAAAAACCCCAGAAGGTGGCAAAGCTCAGAAGGGGGCAAAACCAAGAGGGTGGGGGAAAGCCAAGAAGGTGGCGAAGTCAAGACGGTAACAAAGCCAAGCCAATGGGACAGCTAACCGAAGACAGAAAAGCCAAGGAGGTGACGAGGGAAGGCGGCAAGTTCAAAGAGGTATCAAATCCAAGAAGGTGGCAAATTTGCCAACAAATGGGTATAGTAAAAAAGACGGGGCAGTTGAGATGAAAGCAGTCAAAGCATCTGGTATGCGAACGAGTCAGCGAAATCAAGGTGGCGGCAAAACTATAAGAGCAACAAGGCCAGGCTAGTCCTGTATATGTGGTCCGTTATGCCCGAGTTTCACCATGACGACAAACAGAAACAACCGTCACCGAAAAGCCTCAGGCACATGCAGCATGCACGCAAATTTGTATCTTTGCCAAGCTTGCAATCATTCATACCAACATCACGAGCACCATAAAACTGCAATCCTGCATCAAATGTACCTTTACAGACTTCTCGGTGTCGGTCGTTTCTGTTTGTTGCTTTAGAGGGACGTAACCGTTAGTGTTGCACGTTTTATCATGTAGTTTTTGTTTTGTTTCTTTTCTTTTTTTTGCATGGTTTAATATTGTGATTGTTGGAAGTCCTCTAGTGTCAGGAGCGGGGTAACGCACGTTGCACTTGACGGTGCCCTCCAACAGGTGCATGTCTCCGAGGATAGCGGAGAGCAGGGAGGACTTGCCGCTGCCCACGAACCCTACCACGCCCACCAGGGAGCCGGGCTTCACGTGGAGGCTGACATTATCGAGGCCGGCGCCGGTCTCGTCGGACGTGTTCTTGCTCCACGTAAAAGAACTGTTGGAAAGAATCACCTCTCCTAGGCGAAAATAGGCTAATGAGAAAAGCATTAGAAACAAGACATGCTTCGATGGCCAACGAGAAAACTAGAAGAAAGGTATTATGTCAGTCTTTTCAGGAAAATACGGACTCGATGGCGAAGACAAATCGGAGCCTCTAGGAGTCTAGATAGTATAGTAAGGGCGCAGGCGAACTGGTGAATGTTAACCATGTTGAATAAACCTGAGACTGGGGCAGAAGGGAACACATAAGTCGAAGGAACAAAAAAGGGCAGGACGACGTCTCAAACTCAGCTCAGAGTGAGACGTCATCCTGTCCTTTTCTGTTTCTTCGACTTATATGTTCATTTCTGCCTCATTCTCAAGTTTATTCAACATGGCAAAGCCTCTAGTTAAGCTTTCGATTATTATTTCGTTGTTACAGCTCTTACTATTATTTTTATTGCTATTAATGTTATTATAATTGTTATCATTATTATAAGTGCTCGTAGTAATAGTAGTGGCCGAAATAGCAGTAGGTTTTCACATGCGACATTATAAAGAACATTGGGTTCTTCTGGACACTAAAATTAACATTGATTGAATAATTTATTTATTCGTTTATACAGTTATAATTATATGATTCCGTGTCTACTTGGAGTTTACTGTCTTGACGGTTCATTATCACCTTTATGAGTTAAAAAGAAGGAAAACAAACGTAAAGATGCCATACAACGATTACAGCCAATAAACAAGGGAAAAAATAATTTTAACACAAAAACATAGAACTTTATTTGTTTGACGATACTAGTATTCACGTGAGCCTAAACACAGCCGACGCCACGAGCTGATAGGATCAATTATACAGTGACGAAAGCGCCCCATAATGGTGTTTGCCATGTTTCTTTATGTGTTCGATTCATTTAAACCTATTAGAAACATAAAAGACGCAGTGACTTTCGCTTGTGACCCTACTTGAATGCTCTCATTAGCTCATAGCGCCGGCTGCGTCTGACTTAAACTGAAAGGAAGCGCAGCTCAGTATCCTAAATACGAGTAGAACATGCTGTGCTCGAAACGTTATTAGTTCGGCATGTGCAACATAAAAAAAAAGTAAACATCGCCGGAGTTTTTTTTTTTTCTCACTTTCGTACATGTACCTGTGCTACCAACTGTATGAAGCATGATTAAACATAAATCAGTAAATTGACTTATTGAATTACAATGAAGCCCCGTATACTTGATTATGTGATTTCACAAATTTTAAAAAGTTCACACACGTGAAGTTGAGTATCAACTAGAGTTTACCTTCTCGTTTTTCAGCCTTGTCTTCAAAGTTGACCTTCAGCTCCTCTTTTTCTTCTTCGGTGCAGAATTCAACAATCCGTCTCACTGCCAGAGATATCTTTAAAAATAAAGAAGGCAGTAAGTTAATCTTATTACTAAACAAACGAAAGGTAAGACTCAAAAGTTTAGGTATAAAACATTAAATAACGGTACATGCAGAAAATAAATTTCACGATATTTTTATTCTAACATATCAAACATATATTCCTCTGCGTATGTAATTCGTTCATTTACTAGAAACAACGTTCCTTTGTATTTTTTGTGGGGTTTTTTTTAGCAAGATTTTAGCAAGAAAGCCATTTTTTAGGGGCTCACGCATGTTAGAACAAACACAAGTTAGAACCTTGTTAATGGGGCGATGCAACAAGTTGGTATGTTTAACAAATCCCGCTTAGAATTTTTTTTTTTTTTTTTTTTACGTTTGTAACTTATGAAATACACGTCACTTTTATTTTTCCACAAGATGGAAGTCGCAAAAAAAATAGACCTCTTGCCAAAGCGAAATCATCCTAGTGGCGTAGTGCCGCGCAACGCACTTTGGGAACTTATAACTTATTGGTCTTGGTTTTGGTTTCGATTTGCCAACCTAAATTCACAAAATTTCGTTACGACCAAATGCAGTGCATGCATTTTGTAATCAGTGACTTTCCTTAAATTTATAAAACTGTTGGTGTTTCCAAAAAGATACAAAAATAAAATGCTGAAACGCTTTTTTTTTTCAGGGGGCGATTTTGACGTAGTGGAGTTTGTGCGCAGATAAACACAGGAAGGAGAAATGCACTGGGCCTATCATCCTGTTGCATTGTCTCAATGCCGTAGGCTTTTTAAATCATGTGTGAAGATAGAGGTTCATGCTGCACTCTGGAATGCTGGCCAGGCCTCCAGAAGGGTATGAGACGCGGCCCGGGCCGTACTTATACCCCTCAGTAAGTCTAGGCAGGTTCTTACGGCCGCTGGGGGTTCACGTTTCAACGGAGGCTCCCACATAGACGAATGAGGGCAATATAAGGGAGCGCTGACTTTATATTCATGCAGTTCTGAGATGCACGACTTCGTCAAAACCTAAACCATGCCACCCCTCTCCATGTCCAAATAGGTCCCATAATGCAACGCACGGAGTATGGCGTACAGGCCTTTTAAAGTAGTCCATACCCTCAACTCGTGCCCATTACAAGCCGTCACGTGATCTGAAGCTCATTATATGCCACAAATATGTTTATCATAGCCATGCGCGGTTGTTGGCTAATTACAGGGTATGCGCTGAATTCCACACATTGCTAAAGTTCGGCTATTCCCGTCTTCAGAGCGAATGGGCACAAGCCACTACATGAATTCATGTCGAAGCGTTGATTGTCCCAAGCCCAAATCGAATGCTTACTGACCCTTCCTGCGATCGCATTGCTGACAGCGCCAACAATGTGATCCCCACAACTTCTTCATTCAGTTTTGCAAAGGACAGATTTATACAAAACGTTCGTTCTTATCCTCGACATTTCGCGGTAACAAACCTCTTGGTCAGTGGCGTTGCGTGAGAGGATACTTGGGTACTGATAGTGCGAATAAGCTTGTGCAAAATTTTAAGAAAAAAATGTGTACTCAATATAGTTTCATGGCCAATAAATGGGCGCTTAGTTCCACCACGTTTTTTGCGAATTTATCTGCGAAAAGAGCCGCGGTTACCAAAGGCGAAATGAAGTACTGTAAAACCCTTAATGTTCGCGAGCCCTCAATTTTCGCGAATTTCACGAATTGAAGAATTCGCGAAATTTAAGGGCACGCGAAAATTTCGGTCCTTAAGATTTTCAATGCAGGCGTCTGGAATTCGCGAAATTTAGTGGTCGCGATTATGTCATCTGTGACCGATTCGCGAAAAATAGGGGCCGCGAAAATAAAGGGTTTTACAGTATATGATTACTTTTATTACTTCATTTAACGTTCTGCGCAAGTTGCAACCAACCGATATACTGTAAACCCCTTAATGTCCGCGAGCCCTTAATTTTCGAAAATTTCGCGAATCGAAATATTTGCGAAATTGAAGGGCTCGTGAAAATTTCTATTCTTAAGAGTTTTAATGCAGGCGTCTGTAATTCGCGAAAATTAATGGCCCCGATTATGTCCTCTGTGACCTTTCCGGGAAAAATAGGGGCCCGCGAAAATAAAGGGTTTGACAGTAGACATAACTCGCAACGCGATACTAATCATTTCGTATAGTGTCAACGGCGTCAGATCAGAAGGAATACCCATTCCAAAATGCATCATCATAGCTATAAGATTCAGGTCCGTTCCACAGATCCGACTTCATTTAAAATTCTCGCCTGGGTTGATTGATTGAATGATTCATTTATTCATTCATAATTAATTTCCCGCTCGATTGATTTATAGCGCGATCATAATCCTAAGTGTCTAAAATTGAGCCACAGGTATAAGATGAACCATTACCTGACTCCTGCATCGCAGGGCGCAGGCCATGAGCGCCATGGTGACATCCGTTAAAAAAACGATGTACACACAACTGAACGTAACGGCAGGTGTGAGGACTTGTCCCGGGTTGAAGACAACCAAGGTTCCGAACAATATGATGATCAACTGCGAATGCCAGAAAAAACAAATTCATTTAATATTTTTGAGGCTATAACGCGTTTCCTTTTAATTAAATCCGGCGGCAGTCGACGCTACGATCAAATTGGGCTAATCAGGCAGAGCCAAACGTATACATCGTGACTGCGCTCGTTGTCTCTGTGCGTTTGCTATAGACCAACACGCGGCCCTGACGTCACGCAGCTGCGGTGGCGCAGTCGACGGCACTGCGCATGCGCAGACGAATCACTCCACATGAATTTGGTTTCAGCGCACGCGCAGTGCCCACACCTGGTGTGGGCAAACGCGGGCTTGTTTGTAAACAGCGTGTCGGTCTATAGACCAACTCAACTCATGGCGTCACCCCACTGCGGTGGCGCTGCTGTCAGTATTGCGCATGCGCAGACACTTTACTCCTCCCGAATTTGGTTTCTGCGCAAGAGCAGTCTCCACACCTGGCGTGGGCAAAGCGGGCTTCTTTCTAAACGCTGTGTTGGTGTGTAGCTAATGAAGCCTGCTTTTAAGAGCGCTCCCGGGCGATTTTGGGGCGGTGCGGTACGTGGAACACGGTGACGGTTTGCTAAAACTCTCCAATGACTAAACGATTCGTGATCCGGTGATCATTTTTGCTTTTTTGTGCGTCATTGGTTTGGTTAGTAATAGGAAACTCGCAAAATACCACATCGGTCGGACTTTAAGTGAAACGGAGAGTAGTACTCGGTTATCGTGCTCAAGGAACTTTACGTTTCGTAGGGGAACTGGTTATTCGCTGCCTAGGAGGACGCGACGTTTCGAGACGTCCCGCTTGCCAGTTTGAGATGCTCTATGGATTCCGTGACCTGGTCTTATATACTCCACTTTCCGGCGTCTACACCGTTCCACTATTAACCTGATATCATTAAGGAGCTCGTGTCGCAGAAAAGCCGGTGTCGGTGGCGTGCACTAAAATCCAGGATTGGTGGATCAGGTCATGACGTCACAGCCACATGACCTCACGAGGGAATTTCAAAGAACCCACAACGCTCACCTGAAACGTGACGTCACGCCTGGAAGGAAAGACAGGCTACTGACTAGGGCACGCAGGGCACGCTTGCCCGGCTCGGGAACGGGCGGAAGTTTATATGTGCATATGCGTGCCCCTGAAGCCGAAGTGAGGCGACAGGACCGACAAGGACGATGCGGAGATGCGATAGCGTCTCCGGATCTCATTCGCTTCTCCAGATCGGCGTCCCCGGAGAAGCGAATAAGAAGGCGATGCGAACGGGGCCCCATAACGCTATCGCGTTCCACTCTTAAAGGCGAAGCTTAAAGGGGCACTGACACCCCAAAGGTCTTATTTTTTTATTGTCTAAGACGATGCAAATTGTAGTCATAGACACGTAAAAAAAATACCGCATCGCGAAAAAAAGATTTCTCCGCGCGCGCGTGCGCCATTTTATGTTTGGCGTCCTTCTCTCCCGCTCCTCAAGGCTTCGCTTCTTTTGATTTCTGACGTCAAGAATCATGCAATTTAGAAGCTTTGTAGGCGACATTTTTATAACATTTATTAACGGCAATCGTAAAACATCTTTTTTAACGCAATTGCGGATGCACGACGGCCCTTCTTTTTGAAATGCCAAAAAGACGGAGTCCGTTGTGATGTCGCCTCCTGGATTTGTATCCTCCCTCGGAACCGGGCGCCGGCGTACCGGTTTCGCGGGACGCCGGCGCCCTTCTCTCCCGCTCCTCACCTCCTCGCTTCGGGTCGCGAAGACATGTTTCGGATCGGAGGCGCGAAAGAAGCTTGACTCTCAAGACCCCTCAATATTTGACGTCACTCCACTGGGGCGGATCGCACGGGAACTTCAAATTCGGCATTTGAAAATTGTTTTTTTACTTCACAAATACTGAATTCCCATGTTTCGAATTTTGAGGGTAATCTCCTAGCATCGTTTTCAATTGTTTCGCATAATAAGAAAAAAATGTCATTTTGATGTGTCAGTGCCCTTTTAAGATTATATTGTGTGCGACTAAAAAGCTGTGTCCCAAATTTGCGTTTGAGTGGAATCGACCGCTTTGTGACCGCTTTGCAACCGATTGTAGTAACCGCTTACGACTAGAGACCGGTACAATTACGCAAGGGCCCTTAACGTATCCTCACTCCTAAACAAAACACGTTGAGGCAGATTTGTTAAGAACTCGTTATAAAAACATTTAAAGAATCACGATTCGCTGCACCAGTATCGGCTAAGATCGCTGAGACCTTAGTAGAGGCTCGTTCACAGATTTGCCTTTGAGCGTGACCAATTGCTTTGAACCAGCTTATTACTACTTACGACGGGCGAGCACACGGGCGCCATCGGTCGGGAATCCCTGGGACAACACCGATCTGCCTATATTTCCAAATATGTTTAGGCCTCTTTTTTAGAGCGCAGCTCTTAGGCGCCCATTTCCGGCTTGAGCGGCGTCGGCGTCGGCGTCGCCGCGCGGTGCATTATGGGAAATGTCCCATGACGCAACGTGCGGGGAGGAGAATGGGAAGGAGGAGGTCACGTAACCCCGGTGACGTCACGTGACCTCACGGTTACGCCGACGCCGCTTGGAGGGAGGAGTGGCAGGCAGGATGAGGAGGTGAGGAGGAGGGAGGAGGGGTATACGCTCCCCTCAGTACCCTTCCCTCCTCTTCCTCAAGAGCTGCACTCTAATTCGGCGTTACAGGGAGTCGTAAATGGCTTTAATGTTTCCACCATAAGCTTGAAATAATTTTGGCAATGTTATAACTTTTAAGTAACCTTTCCCCATAGATAGTGCGTGCAAAGTATAGACCTCCAGTCTATACTTTGTTTAACCTCATGATCGAATGCAGCCAGCGCTACAAGCTTATGGGACCAAGTAAGTAAATTGGTGTGTATATGTTTGTACAGACTGAACTTAGTCTGCCTCAACGGGCGACACAGTGCCCCTGAGCTACAGATGAGCAATTTAACCAGAACGGTACAACCGCTAACCTAGGGTCTTTAACATGCACCACGCAGTACTGATACAAGACCGCACGCCGGTACGGCGCTCATCCAAATTGAAACGGGAAGGAATAGGGATCGAACTGGGATGAAGTAAGCAGCCACAAATGCGTAGCGTCGCGGGATTTGTCATGTTTCCGTGCGTGTGCTAATTAACTACAGCAGTCGACTGCCGTGAAAGCACTGTGACCTTGCGCTTTTAATATGTATGTGTGTACTAGTATGGTGGTCTAGCCTCGAGTTCGCTCCGAAGTTTGGCGAAATGGAGTACATTTTGCGCCAGTGGAAAGCAGAAACCGTTGCAACGCACTCGGACATACTCCAAGACAAATATGTATACCAAGCTTAATAAATACGCCCATGATGCGTGACATACCACAGAGCTCGAGGCACTGTATATGGAGTCAATGAGGCCGTCCAGTACGTTGACCCAGAAGAGCGGCTTCATCTCCACGTCTCTGGCCCGCAACAGCTTCTCCTGGTAGGCGCCTTCCCATGCATACATTTTCACGAGGCGCACCGAAGACAGAAGGTCCGAGGTCATCTTGAGTCGCTCGCCACGGGCTCTCATCTGGCGTCGCTGTTATTGAACGAATGAAACGCCAAAGTACAGTCTTCAACAATATAAAAGACCCAATCTACGAGGCAGTTTAAGTTGGCTGTGAGGGATTCGCTTTGGAAAAGTTCACATCGCTCGGTGTGAGGAAATAAATAATCCCCTGGTCTATCCTTTCTCTAAAATTAAGGTGCCTCTGACCAATCTAAGTTTAGCATCACCGCATAAACGCCCTCGGCGAATTAGTCTTTTATATGTTGTACATGTCTCACCAAATGCTCTGAGTGCACGTCGATTTAAGATAAACGGAGTTGGTTTGATGTCTCTGGTTGCTGTAAAGTGATCGCCATACTTGCGCACAAAACGTGAAAAATGGCCTATATAACTGAAAAGCTAATTTGGTGGCAGCCGAATGTGAAGCGGAAGTTCATCCGCATTTCTTGCAGGGGCTATGTTGGCGTCAAAACGCCGAGCTCTGATTGGTTCTGATCGGCGGTTAGTGGGTAGACTCAAAGCAAGCTGTCTTGAGGTCTACCCACTATACGTCAATCAGAGCCAATCAGAGCCAATCAGAGCTCAGCTTTCTGACGTCACCACAACCCCTGCAAAAGAAGCAGACGAACTTGTGCTCTATGTTACTATACGGAGAGAAACTGAGAAAGGAAAATTGGACCGTGTAGTGATGTCAGAGCGCCGAGCTATAATTGGAAGGATTAATGGCTAGATGCAAAGGCTAGTTGGATTTGTCTCTATTCACTGTTCGAACGCCAAACGCCGGCGTCCGGCGTCCGGCGTTCGAACGCGATACACTGTGTGAGAAGCAGACGGCGGTCGTGTTCGCCTTGATCGGAAAGATTCAGTGAGTAGTGACAAAGGTACCTAGCCTTTGCGACTATCCCCTGATCCTTCCAATCAGAGCTCGACGCTCTCCCGGAGCTTTGATCGCCCCCTCTCCCTCGGTTTCTCACCGTATTTGGACGCTAAGCACACCGCCCGTAAACGCGTTTCAGGAACCATTGTTTCTTCTGTGTTCGTCTGGTGGATTACATTTTGGCATAGCGCGATCAAGAAAACCAATTATATTATTAAAGAAAAAAAGACTTCTTTTGACAGCTGATATCTAGAAAGCCAACTTGGCAGCTCGAACAGTTGTGTTATGATATGATGATATAACCTATTTCATAGCATATCATAAAATTATATTATATTCTAACGCTTTATTTGCGGCATAAATAACGAGTGAGCACCCGAAGGTACGAGTTTTTAAACCCTGAATTCAAAAACGAGTTGTACAAGAAAACTCAAGAAACGGGGAAATTTACAGAACATAGTTACAGCCACACAATTACCAGTCATTTCTTCTGTTTGACTTTCATAATGCAGAAAGTATGTCATCTCAATATCCATAATGGTACAATGTTTTAATTCGAGGTACTATTATAGTCAATGAAATATGTTGTTCGTCAGCTCTTTAATACAAGAAAAAAAGGGTAGCAATATTTATCTCCGAATTCCTTTGAATTTGTTTAGAAGTCAATATGCAGTAGTTACAAAAAAGAAGAACCTATATTTTTATTCATTTTCCTGCTAAATTTAACGAGGAAAGTGACTTCGGGCATACGTCACGTTAAGTCAGTTTTCTCTCTAAACTTAGCAAGAAATCGGACGGATAGACGGACGGACGGAGCTCAGTAACAAAAGCACTCAAAAACGTTCAGGCCGTATCACGTTGCGTACAAGAACCTACGTATGTATCCTACTCACCCAGAGCAGATTCTGCATCCTCGAGATCGGTATGGGAACCAGAAACACAAAGAGCAGGTATCCCGCGCAGCAAAGAGTCACTCCCGCGCCCACTCTCATCGCCAGCAGGTAGAGGAGGACGGGCATGCAGAGAACGCCGCAGCCGGGCAGCGGGAAATTGTAGACGCTCATCGACAACTGGGTGCAGTCTACGCCCAATATAGACACCACGTGACCCGTCGAAATGGACGCCCTCGCAGAAGGAGATAGCAACGTCATCTGGGTGGTGTAAATTAAAAAAAAAACGATGGGTCTTGCGTTTGAACGCCAGACCCAGCGCGAAGCGCGGACAGCGCTCTTCTTCGCTCTGATTGGAGGGAGACAAAGTCAGCTAGCCTTCGCCTCTACCCACTAATCCTTCCAGTCACAGCTCGGCACCCTGACGCCATTGCACGTCCTCGTCTGCTCCGCGCCTCCAGCACGTGCTCGTTGCCTTCCTCCGAATTTCGGCTCCGCGTGCGACGAAGTGTTACCGAAGGCAGAATGCTCGCCCTTGAGGCGGAACCTCTACTGGGTTTTTAATCCGTCACCGGCTTTAGGTGGTGTTGGATGATGCCTCACATTTTTCTTCTTCACCCGTTCGAAAACCACTATACTTTGTCCAAATATTCTTTGTACCGACTAGGGTGCCTCAATGTCCTTCTGTTTAGGGTGATGACACCCTTTGTAGTACCCGATGCCGACAGCACGCGCTCACGGGTAAAATACAAAGAAATCGACAAAAACAAAATGTCGTCATAGCACAGTTAGTGCTACAAACGCGTGCAGGGTCACGCTCTTTCACGCGCTTCGGAACAAAAAAGAAAAATAAAAGTGTGGGACAAAATGGCCAGATGTCTCCACCCTTAGCAAAGCGCACATGAAGGCACCCTGGTACCGACTATACCCAGTTCACCCTTGAGCTAAGAAGCTCCGCCTTCAGCACGAGCTTTCTGCCCTTGCTAACACAAGTGTGAACCGCAGGCACGCGCAACCAAAAGCACTGCGAAAGCCGGCGAGCTCGCGCTGAAAGCGGAGTTTCTAGTCTCAGTTTAACCGCGCATTAACACTGGAGGCGGATCCGCGTTCGCAAAGCGGTTGCGAACGCGGTTGTATTAAGATCCAATGCAACTGCACGCGCACTCGATGACATCAAGTGCGCGTGCAATTGTACTGCATCTTTATAAAACCGCGTTCGCAACCGCTCTGCGAACGCGGATCCACTTCCAGTGTGAATGAGCGGTAAGGGTGAAAGAAGTGTAACCGCAAAGGGGCTAGAAGCTAGAAGCGCAAGCGAGTACCTTTACTTGGCGTTTGATTAACATTCTCGCGGCACAAGCGCGAGTGTAGACGAGGCACGATAAAACGCAGGAAGATTATAGTTCGTGGTTAGTCCATGTTGCGGCAAGAAAGACACTAGGCTGGCGGTGCAAGTGCGTTTTGTGTCCCCTTTCCCCAGGACGACGTCCCATCACATAGTTTATTTGAACTATCTTTAAGTGTTTACCCTATCTCTTTCATAAGACTAATTCATTTTATTTCCATCCACGCAACATCGAACAGCTGTATAGACAGTTGCGAGGACTGTGCTCCAAATGGTGCCCCATGCGTGCAAGCACGTGTAGCGTGCGCATGAACATAGCTTTGACAAGCTTGAAATGGCACTGTCTTTCCCGCTCGAGCCGAAACATGGCGGCGGCCAGTTGCCTCGCTTGCAGTCTGGAGGCTCCACTCGCAGGCGACAAAGTTGCCCCCCTCCCCCCCCCCCCCCCCCCCCCCCCTCCGGGAAGGCCGCCAATGTTGAAAAGTACGACCACGACCAATGGCTGCACGATTCTATGGAACCAATCAGACAGCAGCGAAAGTGCATCGTCACGGCGCTCGTCGTCTTTGTACGTTTGAGGTGACGGGCTAAACCAACCACGCATAGGAAAAACATTCCGAGGACACCTAAGCACTTCTTATGAGTTGTGAATGCGAAAGCATGAATGTCGTTCTTCAGCTCTCTTTGTTCGTCTGCAGCGTACCGACGGCCGAGCGCGCTCTTTTGTGAAGTGGCCGCGCCCCGCTGAGCTCGGCCGTGCAGCCTCTCCGGAGTTTGCCCGTGCGGGCTCCGCGGTTAGGCCCGCACCTCTTACCGGCGGCGCTGCGTGCGCTGCGCCGCCATAGAGAGGGCTTCTATTCCTTGGAACTAAGCCGCGCGAGAGCCAATGGGAGCCTCGTTCCTTAGAACTATGACACGCGCCAGTCAATGGGAGCCTATCCATCAGAGCTATGCTACAGACGACAGGCTTCGCTCTATTGGGACAGGGGAAAGTGCCGCTTGTCGCGGCTTCAAAAGCTAATGACGTTGTTTCGCTCCTTGGGACAGTTAATGCTGACGTATTAAAAAAAACGCAGAATCACTCGTGATTCACTACGCGTGATTGGTTTAGCCGGTGGCAGCCAACGCGCAAAGACGACGAGCTCTACGACGACTCACTTTTGGTTGGCGCTTGCTTGATTGGCTTCATCGTAGTTAAGCCTTGGCTAGGGTGGGACTTTATGTGAAAAGGAATATAGGTGCGGAGGGGGGGGGGGGGGGGGGGGGGGAGGGGTATCCAAATGAACAGGGATGAATTTTTAGAGTGCGGGCCGTTCATAATTACCAGCTCCCGCCGCTAGCACTGCTTGGCAGCAGCCCTTCCGAGTCAGTTTTGCCGCTTCAAAATCATTCCTGATTTCTGTTTGGAATGTCTGATTTCAAGCAACTTCCACCACCTCCACGAAACGTTGTTTGTTTTTTCTTATTTTTTACTTGGGAAGGGGGGAGGATTGTGCGGGCGAAGAAAAAAAGTTACACGGGGCGAGGTCTGGTAATTAGGAAGGGAGGAGAAGCGGTGGTCCTGGGGGGCCAATTTTGTTCAAAAAATGTTGCACTGACATAGTGTGTGCTGGGCACACCTGAACGGTTCGTGTTAAAAGTAACAAAATTACTTGTAATTGATTACTTTTAGAAAGAAGTTTGTAATCATTTGATTATATTTATGAGGAAGTAATCCAACTACTTTTGGAAGTACTCATCGTTACTGTTTTCCCCTCCCCTTTCTAATGGTGCCCTTTGTACAAGTTTCCTAGCGAAGAATCCTCGAACCAAATCTTCGACAGGAGCATGGTTTACCAAAATTGGTGGATTAAGCAGGTAAGGAGTTTATAATTCGGTGATTCTAATACAATATTGGGCGGTACGAAAGACCTACTCTTTTGAAAGCGGCAGAAGAATCTGTCGCGTCAATTACCTTTTCTCATGTAATTGAGTAACCTAGTTGCATACATTTTAACCGAGATTAATTGTAACTGTAATCAACTACTTCTTGTTTAGTAACGATGTGCAAGATTGGCGCTGGGGCAGTTTCCTGATGGAACCGTCACTCTCCCCTTTCCCACAATTCAGACCATTGCCGCCTTGCTGAGTTACGCGAGCCTCGAAAAACTCCTAGGTAAAAGACCTGATGTAGTGGTTTCACCAGGAGGAAGAATCTTGGATTGAGCAATGCCAGAATTTTCTCGAAGTTTTTATTAGTTCAGATGGTCGAGGGTCGCCCTGAACGAGATTGGTTGTCGATCTATAATTTACCGGCCTTGAAACGAGAAAACCACTCGCAGACCCGCAATTTTTTCGTAGCATCTTCTTTGTAAGCTGTCTGAAACATTAGAAAAGTTTCCGCTGTTGTCTTTTCCAACAAAATTTCACGGCCGTACGCTGTCCCTACGAATCAGGCATTGCAATAAAACGAGGAATGATTTTGAAGCTAAAACATTCACGACGTGCCTCTATAACTTTCGCACACGATGCCGGTCGGCATACTGACTCGGAATGGGTGCCGCTAAGCGCTGTTAGCGGCGGAAGCTGGAACTACAAGCGACCAGCCCTACAGGAGTGCATTCCGTTTACTTAGCCCCCCCTCCCCCCCCCCCTCCCCCTCGCAGACTCACCTTCTACTTTTTTCTTGCTAAAAATTGGTGGAATAGTACCGCGAGAAAAAAAAATCGAACCTTCTTGAATATTGCTGCCTGAAGCACAGCCCTCAGCCGGCATCCCAAGATGCAGGCCATCTCGTTCTGGTAGCTGGTCAGTAGACATTCTGCCCCACTCGCCACCAAGAACAAGAATGCCGAGATGATTCGCTCTGTGCCGTCGCAGCTCTCGATCACCTGTCTACAAACCACTGAGTATTAACACAAACATCTGGACAACGCAAAGAAAGAAGAAAATGAAGGTCCTGGTTCGCGTATTACATTGTCATGTCCCCTTAAAAGTTTCTAAACAAAAACACAGCAAGCTATGTTGCCTTTCGTTTTACTTCCTACTACAGTTACTGGCAAGGTAAGAACGTCTGCGAGGATCCGCGCGAGCTTCCTGCCTTTGACAATGCTTCCGCGTCTTACGCACCCTGAGCACGCGCGCGCGGTCAAAACACGACGGAAGCCATGGAGCGCCTGCTGGAGACCAGATGTTTGAAAGAAACGCCCTGGCGTTTCTATTCCGTCGTGGACTCTAATCACAAAACGTTCACGGCATCTTTGCTGTGGGGCCAACTAAGGTTGCTAAAGCTACATAGTTCGTGGAAGCCAATATCCTTTTGTTTTATCCGTCATCCATAATGGGACCCCTACCTGCTCTCATGAATCTGTTTGTTCATTTATAATTGACACTACTTGACATCATGATGTCATGTGACACCATGGCTTGACACTTTGACGTCACAAAACGTTGTCACGTGACGTGAGGTCACGGTGTCATGTCGTGGTGCCACGGGACACCAATTTCCCCTCTAACTTCGGCAGGAAACTAATACACGATATGTTCTCGCGTTAAACGACTGCTTAATGTATTTCCAGACAAGTGAAACATGCATTATAGGCTCCTATAGGGCTCTCAAGATACGAGTCATTCTAAATATTAATCTGTAGACAGAATGTGTTTTACAGCCGAATTCGGTAAGAAAATTGTCATAGAGAACCGTCGTGAAAGACTGTGACATTACCTGACATTATAGCGTGATGCAACACCAAAATGTCACGTGACTTGGTGACGCCATGCGACACACTAGTACCACGTGACATTATGACGTCGAGTGATGTCCCAGCCATGTTACCTTATGACGTCACACACACACACACACAGCATGTATACCCAGCACACTCCTAGCCATTCTGGGTCCCCAGGCAGTGCCAGCATGATAAGGCTATCGTAATTTTTTGTAATCATTTTGCGAGATGGTTGCGAATGCGTATGCGACTCACTCGAGCAGGGGCACCTTGACAAAGAGGCAGGCGAAGTAGGCAAAGGTGCAGAGGGCGACACGGAAGGCGTCCATCCATAGGACACGCCACAGGGCCGCAACGAAGTCTATTCGACGTCGCACGTTTTTGCTGGAAGGGGGTTTCGGATTTATTTTATTCATTTATTTCACATACTATCAGTCTAAATCGATATCTTTGATAGAAGTGCGAAGTATTATAGCAACAATGATTTGAAGTGCCAAGATTGCCTAAAGAAATGTCGCGTTACTTTGAAGCGTGACTCGTTTAGCAACTCTGCGCCCACTCATACCGCGGTGCCATGGAACGCGTCCTCGACCGGTGTGTTTGGCGTCCCGTTCCGCGCATGCGCCGAAAGAGGTCTCGAACTGGCAACGAATGACGTCACAAAAGCCGGAACGTCGCGCTGTCGGATGTCGCGATCCTGGCGGTCGGTCCTACAAGTTCCGGCAAAAAAAAGCACGCGCAAAAAGCGCCAGTGTCGCCGTCTTGCGGTGTCCCAATTTTCGGCTGCCAAAGCTTCCGTGGTCTGTCGAGCCGGAGGCCGAACTCGCAGCAGAACGGACGTTTGTGACGTGTCCACCGAAGCTGCTATGACACAGCCGGGACCGCAGCCGTCGACAGCGTGACTCTCCTATAACGTCATCGGGCGAAAATCGACGGACCACTTTTTTGGACGAGGCAAACACACCGGTCGGAGACGTGTTACGCGAACAGTATACTCCGTTTATGCCGTTTTTAGTCAGTATGCCATTTATAAGGTAGCTCAGGACCAGGGTGTAAGATAGACAGGTGGTGAAACGGCCCATAGAAGCCTACCGCAGCGCCGTGACCGGATTGTGTACTCGTCTGCTTGCGGGTACCCCCGATTTGCGACAGATGGCGCTGCGGCAAGAGGAAAAAAATTGGAATCGGATGTGCATGGAACTTTATGGGAGAGTGCGCAAAATAAACCTAGAGCACGACAGTCCTCCATTGAAAATCCACGGGAAATCATCTCCGTCAGTTTAGCCGGTCGCCACCGGTCGCCCACCAGGAGTGAGAGTTCGCGGTGCTCCACATAGATGGCGCCACAGAAAAAGAGAAACCCGAGGGGGACACAATCCGGTCGCTCATTTGGCTCTCGTTTCCCCACCTGTCTATCTTACACCCTGCTCAGGACCATTCTTCCGAGTCCGACGATGTAAGTTACGAATGAAATTTTATAGAAGAAAAAGAACTCCTAACAGAAACCGTCCATTTGGTGTTGATATCGCTGGTGCCGCTCGGTGCAATAGAAACATTTCCAAAAAAACGCGCGCCATCTATACTCCGCGTCACCTTATGTTGTACCGCAGAGAAGGCTAGAAGCGCGAGCTCATAGCGTTGGCAGCAGCTCTTAAGTCACGAGAGCTTGTGCCACCGAGATGTGCCCCTGAGCAAAGAGCTCGCGCTTGTAGCCTTTCCTGCGGTGCATCATATGGTGAAACAGAGTATAGTAGCTGCTGCACTAATTATACGAGTCCACCATTTTTTTGGGGCATTTGATGTGAGCATCTATTGGACACGAGGACTGCGTTACTGTTCGACGAGTACTTGAATCCGATCAGACGCTTCTTGTCCCCCCAAAAAATGGCGACCGCCAGCGTTTCTTGATGCTTTTCTTTAAGTATATTGGCGAGAAATGTCACACCTCGGTCGAACGTCGCATAAACAATATCTAATAGCAACAGGGGGACAGACATAGTGTACTAATAATAAGGAGTTTGGTTAGCTGAGCACATATTCGTAAGGAAATTTTTCTTTCCTTCTCTTACCTTAGTAATGAGTGAAGCCTGTAGACGATGTCTCCACAGCGGAGGGCACCACGCAGTCGGGGAAGGACTTCATCCGACGGTTTGGCTCCGGTTAGGTTCATCTTTAGAAGCCTGCAAATACGTACGCCAAACAATTCTTTATCGAAACAACAAAAAAAAACGAAACAAAAATCGCATGCTGACCACAAAAAGAACGGTGTCAAGAATGGCGTTCGTCCGAACTTTAATACGTCGAAGGGTGCAGAATCCAAACACTCATCACTCGTTCAATGCGGAGAGAATGTCGTCTGCTTCCTTCGCAGGAGTTGCTGTGACGTCAGAACGACGCTAAGCTCCGATTGGCTCTGACTGAAAGGATAGTGGGTAGACCTCAATGCTAGGAGCCTCGACGTCTACCCACTATCCTCTTTCAATCAGCCAATAAGAGCTCGGCGTTCTGACACCGTCGCATCCCCTGTGCAAGAAGCAGACGAACTTGCACTCCGCACAGGCTTGGCAACGCCATATTTTAAATTTTTATCCCGCAAACCTTGTGCTCGGTTTGCTTCAAACAGATGCGACTCGACTCTCGAGTCACGCGCGACAAGAAGCGCGGTACGTCATCTTTCGAATGCCCATATCCTCCGTCACGTGCTCCTCGCCTTCCGTCGTGCTCTGACTGCGCGCGCACGCTCGAAGCACACGAAATGCCTACAGCCGCGGTCACACTACTCGAACGCCGTACAAAAGACGGCCTGCAGACAGTGTTCGAGGCCGGTCTCATTCGTCGTGTGAAAGTTATGTTACACTGGTCGTTTTTGCAGACGTGCTCGAAGCATGCATAGCACGTTCCAATCAAACATGCATTCGAACATGCTCGGGGCGACTCCACGGTTTATTCCGTCCGCGTGTTAGCAGCGAACACCTCGTATTTTGTATGATGTATCGAATCCAAACGCGAGATGGTTTAATTTTCCAATTTTAACGTAAAAATGGGAGAGAAACCGAGAGAATAAAGGCTGATCGAGCAGCTTGAAGTGGCCCTTTGTCCCCCCTTCACGAGAAAATGGCAGCGGCAAAGGAAAAAATAAAAAATACTATCATAGCTTATACACATTAAAGGGGTAGGGAAACGAAATTTCAGCGATCATTTTCTAGCTTTAATGTGTTGCCTGTTGCACCCTAACCTCAAAAACACCAGTCTTTCGTTGAAAAGCACAAGAAAACTAATTTTAAAGCTAAATAAACGATCTTCAATGTGCACCTGGCGGATGCATGCGGAGCCTATTTGGGAGGTGGTCTAGCAACGTTGTGGAATCTGCTACGTAGTCGTGACGTAGCAGATTCCTTCGGAGCAGCGCCGCTCTTTGGCATTCCAAAGTTTTCCTTTTTAGCTTTCCTCCTGAACTCACAAATCGCGCATTGTACCAAGCGGTCCAAGAAGACGGAACGGCTCCCCTCTTTCTCGCTCCCTCGTTCGTGCAATCGGAAACAGCCATTCTCCCCCTAGAAGATTAGAACGTCGCTCAAAACTCGAACAAAAGTTGCTTTCCCCACCCCGTTCACCCCTAAGCTGACAGTGTTGTGGAATCTACGTGCTCCTTGGGCCAGCCACACGCTCGTCACCCCACGGGTACTTCAAATGGCTCGGTTGTAACGCGCTGACAACGCCACCGCAACGCTGACAACGCCACCAAGGGCAAAGCTCATAATCACGCGAGCCTTGCTACGTCACGAACGCGGGGTATCTTTTCTTTCTGTTTTTGTTTGCACCGGATATCCCATGACGCATGGCGCTCTCCGTTCGCTTCTCTTCGCGCGCTTGCTCGAGTGCACCGTTTGGAACGAAAAATATAGCTAATCGTTCAAAATACAAACGTGTGATTATCATTTACGGTTATTATCTGTCATGCTTGACTCATTTACGAACGAAATCTGAATATTTTAATTTTTGTTTCCGTACCCCTTTAACAAAGGCTACATACAAAGTGCGCCATGAGCTAAAAATATTTACAACAAAACAAATTACATACAAAAAAAAATATTTCGTTGACACCAAATTTGGCCACGAAAATAAATGGAGCGAAATATTTACATTAAAATTGTATAAACAAACATAATTGGCACGTCATAATAAAGTGAATTTTTGTAGTTGAAAGAGAAAAACGCAAACCCACCATAGTTTTTGTAAAGTAATACTATTAAAAAAGTTGATCAGCTAAAGTGCGATAGCGTAGAAAAACATACAGCAAGAATAAAAGGCAACATGATGTAGATAATGGTACATAGCATTGTAAGTAGCAGTTTTTAATCTTGTTCTTTCAGTTTCTACGTCGCAAAATTACACGAAAGCTGGTGTACCTGTGTTACACAGCGCGTCCTTCCCGCCCCCTACCCCTTTTTCCCCTTTCCCCCAAAAAATAAATATATATATATCATGTTTTGCCGCATAAAAAAAGTGTTCATCACCGAATGCCCCGTTTCAGCCCCAATGTAGCACTAGCCTACGGTACCAGATAACAAGTTTTCAGAACTGACCGTTATATTTTCCCAAAGTTATCAGTGATTTTCCGAAACCTTCTATCGGAAAACGGAGCCTCGCTCTCGGCAGCATGTGCCATTCAGCCCCATGTATCTGCTCGGCTTTATCATCCACCTTTTTCCCATTTAATTTGTTTAACCCGCCATTCACTTTTCATAAAAAAAATAGCGGTTTGTTCTGATACTTCAGCATCTCGTTCAGACCGTTAGCGCTACCTTTGGACGAAACTGAGCGTTCTACCATGCGTACTTTATATTTTCCACTTAAAAAAAAAAAAGATGTAATAAGTATTTGGCGGGGGGGGAGGGGAAAGGGGGGGGGGGGGGGGCGCTTTGTAGTTTTGTTTTAACCCCAGCGTCGTTTCATCCACTTTTAAGATTATGTTTTCAAAAAGTATTTACGGCATCAGCAGCACACAGAAGAGTCTTCCAAAAGTAGACGTATTATCTTCATCACGGTCTGCAAATTTAACCTGCAAGAAAAACACAATCCACGTTACAAAATTAATAATACACTGGTAACATGTTGTGCTTGTCGAGCAGCTGTGCCGTTTCCTCCGCAGCAACATTGCTGTCGTAGAGTCCCAGCTTTTTTTTAAAGATATAGTGCGATCTTAAGGTTCAAACCGAAATAGCACGTTGGCTGAAAGTAATTTTTTTATCACATGGCCAATTCATTGTGTGTATCAAACCACTTCATCCATAGCTAAACTAAATCTATCTTGTTGTTGTTGTCGTTGTTGCTTTTACGAACTTTCTATGAGCAAAAGCGCGCGCGTGGAAAATACGTCAAAAACAGACAGTTGTTTATACGTACCCAACAGTATACGTACATGCGAATACGACCACAAACGGATACTGGCGTTCTTCGGAAGAAACGAAATAATCATACTTGTCAGTTGTTTGTGACTTTTAGTGACCTCGTCACAAAAAGTAATCACCACAGGTTTGTACTTTTCTTCTTTTTTTTTAGATTCGCTTAGAGTCACACAAAAGCTACGCTTCAGTGTAACGACACTTCATCACGTTACGAGGATCAAGGAATAACTGAAAAAAAAAATATTTTTTTTTTATATGAGCCGACGTCCACCTAAGCCTAATGTCGTCATAACAAGCGATGACATTGTGGGTCCCTGTAGCATCTATTTCAGCGAAACGAATATGCTAATGTGGCCTCGAATCTGCGATGCAATGCCACGTGGTCTGCAGAGACCTGATAACAGCTACTATATAAATGCGTATTTCCCTTGAATAAAGGTTGTTCATCATTTGACTTCCAATCTACGAGTCACTACTTTGGCGACGAAAGATCAGATTACGAAGGCCGTTACGCAAGCTCGGGAGCAGTCAAGGATCAAGCTTGGGAGCGCCGACAATGCTGCAGTCAAGGATCAGGATCATCGCAGTGGGGAAGACCTCTATATGATAAGTGCAATGGACTACCTTTACTGAATATGACATGTCAAGGCTAGGCAAAATAGACGAGTTCGACGAGGAAACGCAAAACTTTGACTTCTACCTTGAAAGATTCCAGCATTTTGTAATTGCAAACGACATTACTTAAGCTAAGAAGTTGCCAGTATTTCTGACGGTTATTGGAGGTTGCGCTTATGAAGTGCTCAAAAACGTTGTTGTTCCGACAGATCCATATCCTTTGCCGCGCCCCGATGACTTGTTTACAGCCATTGGTGGCGGTAATGTATTTTGTGTACTATAGACTTGTCATCAGCGTACCAACAGGTGTCACTGAGCCCAGAGTCCAGGCCACTCTTGACGGTAAACACTCGCATGGGGCTTTAGGAGTTCCAGAGGCTTCCGTTTTATGTGGCTAGTGCTCAAGCCATTTTCCAGTCTTTCATGGATGAATTACTCAAGGGCATACCAAACATCGGGTGTTACATAGACGACGTCATTATTGCATGGGTAGACATCGACGATTGTCACTGGAAGCTGGAGTTAGCTTTAAAGCGATTGAATGAGGCTAACGTAACGCTAAAAAAAAAAAATGCAAATTCTTCAAAGACACCGTTACGTATCTCGGTTACGTGTCCTCAAATCTGCGATGTCATGTCACGTGGTCTGCAGAGACCTGATAACAGCTACTATATAAATGCGTGTTTCCCTTGAATAAAAGTTGTTCATCGCTTGGCTTCCAATCTACGAGTCACTACAACGAACTTGTCTGCAATATATAATACAATATTCTCTTCCTTGCTGACAAGAGTATTTCGCTGACATAAATCCCACAAGCGTTCACGATATCATTTTTGAATGATATTAAGCTTAGGTGGACGTAGGCACATAGGTACATTTTGTTTTTCTCAATTATATTTCGACTGAAGTAACGTCATGTTCTCAAAGTTTAATGTGCTGTCCCAACCGCTAGCTCCACATTCTCACAGAGTTCGAGCTTTCTACGATGCGTAGTTGATTCATCCGGGCGAAAAATACGGTTCTGGCGGTTTGCTTCTATTTACCACTACCGTGTTTGTTTTTTTTATTTTGTTTTTAACACCTGCTCTCGCAAGATAAAAATATGAGCAATCCACCACCTAAAATAGCTTTAGAAAAAGTTACATGGCACTCTGTTCAGTCTTATCTATTCGAATTTTTTTTTTACGCAAAAATAGTGCTTGATAACACCCTGTAGAACCAGAGGAAACGTTTCCCGTCCTTCAGAAATGTTAGAACAGTCCGCGCGCCAAAGCAAAATCGCTTTTTTTTTTTTTTTTTTTTTAATTGCAATTTTTTTTTTTTTTTTTAATTGCGGCGTTTACAAAATTGTTGTGGAATGAAGTACAGATACTTTTAAGTGTACCTAAACTAATGGCTCTAAGTATACCCGTACGATAGCCAGTATACAAGTCTCAGCACTTCACAATTTGTCTGTATACTCATGGCTTATTTTTGGGTTACGTCACCTTCCGTGACTTCGATGATCTCCTGGAGACGGTGTCTTGAAGCCCTGCAGCCAGGAAACATCCGCACATCAGGACGGCTACGGCCGTGGTTAGGGCAACCTGCGAGTGCTCAAACACCGCGTGCCATACTATGGTTTCCTGAAAGTACCCGAGAGGAATCAAGTTAGCTGAAGTCGGACATCTACGTTCGGTCCAACTGAACAGTATGCAGAAAGCGGACATGGGTGCACTCAGTTATTTTCAGCGGTCATCTGGTCCTCTTAATGCTTCTCTCTCAGCATCCCTAGGTCAACTCGCACCACTAAATCTTGGAATGAGTAGTGATAGTCGTCCTGTTAGTGACATCCAGAATGGTTCACTCTGTGTTTGACAAAGAATGTCTAAAAACTATCTGCGGTCTTTAGTGTCAACAGATCAGTCTTTATTGTCAACAACAGGTCTTTATTGTCAACAAAATTTAGGTTTTTTTGTTTTTTTTTTATAGACAAGCTCCTGCATACTACATTACGAGAAAAACGAACAGCATTGGCTGTTCGTGTTTTCCCAGAAGAGCATGGGTACTAGAAATTCGCGCGGTCACTTCGAATCGGGCTTTAAAGCTCACTTTAGGAACGGTAGCTTAGCTTTAAAGACGAGTTGCTAAAACCCGCTTTTGTGTAGAAGTAATGAAACCATCCTTTGAACTCCTCTAGAAATATTAAGGTATGTAGCTCTTCCCTTTTCGGGCATCCAATTCAAGCTCCAATTCATAATATTGTACCGATTGTGGCAAAAAGGGAGCGATAGCGCATAAATCAACATCTTATCTGTTCAAAAATGGCGACCCAACACGTTGGGTCGTTACTTCCTGCAGCGGACGTGTGAACGTATATGTTTTATTCTACCCTACTTGCCTGTTGCTGGAAAAGTTGCCGCACTAAAAGGATGGAATCTGTGATCGTACTCGTGGCCAGCAGACCAAGGATTCCGCAGGAAAAACCCGAAGAGCCCAGGGTTCGCGAAATCCGGCTCCAACACAGTACTGCTAAGATGACCTGTGGAAGTCAAATATAATTCGAAAGAAATCGTCAGCGTACGACCGAGTTCATAAAATTCCTTATATTCCAAATTTACAGCTTAGCTCACTCTACTGTAAATAAGTCCATTAAGGGTGTCCTCCGATATCCAAGTCTGGAAATCACCATGTGCCGTAGTCAATATAATAGCTTCAGAAATGCAGGGTGCGGCTCATTAGGTCCACGCTTACTGTTTCATGATTCGTTGTTTGGCGTTTTTAGAGCCTAATGTTGCAATCTCATTGGTTGCCGCACCCTGCGGTTCATAAGAAGTCAGTGACTATGGTGTCTCCTTTGTTGACATGCCTGTCTCTACACTCTAAGAAATCTGGAGCGTGTGCTTTCCCGCAAAGCACGCTGGAGAGCCAATCACTGCAGTCAACGGAGGGAGCTTAGCCAATAACTGATAATGTGTCCTAACCTAAGAAAACTTGTCTGCGCTCTGGCACTGAGGGTGGCGTTTCACCGCGCTCCTCGGCGCCTTAGCACAAATCGTTTCTTGGGCTCTAGAGTAGACATATTATCAAACCAGTCATTCGCTGAGCGCCCTCCGCTCATCGCAGCGATTGGGTATCCGGAGCGCTTTGCAGGAGAGGAGAGGCTCCAAATGTCTTAGAGCGTACGAACGGAAGGCAACCAAAATAAAAACCTTTTCTGTTTAGTTTTGACCGTAGCCCTCACGTTGTATTCAATCAGAAACTTCTCCTGATTAGCATTAGTGGTACATTTGCTACACGTTTTACAACCGTATTTCTTAAATAACCCCAGTTGGAATGTTTAGTTACTTAAGGTTAATGCATCCCATACTGTTCCAGAGTGGACAGAAGCGAGCTAAGTTTAATAATTTGCTCTTAAGCTTGGACATCTATGAATCATCATCATTTCGAGGGCGCTTTTAATAGCAAAACATCTCATCAACGCAGATACAGCCCCCCCCCCTTCCCCCCTCCCCCCCCCTTTCCTTAAAGTACATTACAAAAAACTTACGAGAGAAACCGCCATGGCGAACTCGGCTGAGATCTCCTCGAGGGTGGATTTTTTTATGAACTCTGTCGGTTCTTTTTCCCATAGCATATAGTAGATGTTTACAGAAGTCAAGACGGCCGACCCTAAAACTAGAATCTGTCAAAAAAAAAAAAGACCACTGTTATCAACCAATTAAACCATGCAATTGTTATCCTCCTACAATCCTCAGTCAACTATGAGCAACAAGCAAGAGCTCACGAAGTGCGCCACCAAGGGAGTTTTGCGGTTGAACGGCACTCTTACTTCATTTGGTTGCCAGCCATAGCCACAAGTTGCGGTATATACTCCTAATATCCGCTTGCTATGTGGTAATGACAAATTTGATACTCGTTGTCTCCGCAATATCGAGAAATGAAGAAAAAAAATAATCAAATTCTTGAACATCCATGCCTTAACCTCATTCTGCGTAAAGTTCGACGAAACAAAGACCACAAAGCGTATACGTAAAGTTATATCTAACAGCTTGTGAGAAAGACTTTCTTTTTATTTCCCTAGCTGTTGCTTCGATTACACCTCCAAAACATTTCAAGCCCAACTTGTTCGACGATAGTTCGTAGAATTACTGAGAGCTTAACGCGTCACTGACAGCCCCGACATCGGTACCTTTTTGCTTTCTCAAACACTTCAGTAGACGTACTATAACTCGGCCACGAAAGGTCACATGCTTCATTCCTCAGCGTCACTATACATTGTTGTCTCGTTAATGCGGACCCGATGAATATGAATGTTCCTCTATATAGGGTGTTTTCACTGGCGTACTTTTGTCCACCAGTTTGTTGTTTCGAGCTGTCTGGCGTGTGCCGAAGGAGAACATTCCAAGGATTTACATGACCCCTCAAATACGTAGACCACAGAAGCTTATAAGTATTACCACGCTGACGTCTCCTTAACAAATTGAGAGGTAATCCTTCAAATTAGTAAGGTTGTTTAAAAAACAAACTATACAACAAAATGGCAGATTGACATCATGTGAAAACACCCGATTGACAACATCTTCCAAGGATAAACGGAATAAATACGTGTATTTTTGTCTCGTCATTAATACGTGCCTCAGAAACGGAGGTGTCCACATGCCCTTTGTGCGCTGGTGTTAAAAAACAAAAACCTGTGGCGCCATCTGGCGGTTAAAATAGCAACTATCGATATGTTCCTGGCGTTCCGTTTCGGCGGACGGTACCCAGCGTTTCCTAAGCCTAGTTATGTCGTACGCAGCATTTCACACAACAAAAAAAAATATATCCAATGATTTTATTGTTCCGTGTACGACTGCCTCAACGGCTGAGTAAATGAAGCTGAGCTGAATAAATCAAGTTTTGGGAAATTCAAGCGATTTCCAGGCAAGCCGTAGGTTGTGAAGCCGGTGGAGCGTTGACGGCGACGAATCGCTGCGGTACTTTTTTTTTTCTTCAATTTTAACCGGGTCCTCACGATGCAGATTAGCCTGTAGCTTGCCCCGGCCACCGTTTCGGTGCGAAGCCTAGTGGTAGTCTGCGAACGGAGAAGCTGAATGTCCTGAAGCGCCTACTTCGTGGGGAACGAAATGAGCCTCACCACCCTGCCTAGATCACCAGTCTTTCTAAATACGGTTAACGTGGTGCACTTTACTATAAAATAATATATCTGAAATTTTTCTTGAAACCCCCTAAATATGTGAGGTCTGCACATTCTTTCTCTGCTGCACCCTTTTCTTTCCAAATAAATTATAACACACTTTTCTTGCCTTGTTCGCGTATTTTAATTTTTTTTTTTTTAATTTGTGTAACAATTCAAGAAGCATGATCCAGAAATCAGGGATCTCGTTGATTTCTTTTTTTTTTTTTGGCTCATCGACGACGGCCGCAATGATTGCGCTGCCCAGTCTCAGGGCGTAGGTGGTGACAAAATCGCCAGCGTGATCGCGCATTGTCCAAGTCGTGCAAGTTGTCTTTGCGAGTGCGATTCGCGCCACGGTTAGGGAGTTTCCGTGGATCATTGCAGCCCTCCCGCATTGCTCACCGCAACGAGATTTGGAATTGATTATAATGCAATTAAATGCAAAGGTGCAAGCGAGCTGGACAAGAATGACGAAAATAATCCCTGGAGAAGGGGAACAAGGGGGACAGAGGACAAACACAAATCTCCAAACACAGCTAGGTGACTGGTGCGCGACCGAAAAAATCCGCCTGGTCCGGGTATCCAACCCGGGACCTCTCCATTACAGGTGGAGCGCTCTACCATTTGAGCTAACCAGGGGTTAGACATCAGTAGAGCAAACGGGTTTTATCAGCCGCCACCAGTCTAACACCAACAAGGGTGAAGCTTGCAATTTAAGGTTATGATTATAATGCAATTAAATGCAAAGGTGCAAGCGAGCTGGACAAGAAAACCTTTGCATTTAATCTGTTGAGTTCCTAAAGCGCGACGTAAAGCAAATCCCGCACTTCCGTAAGACGCCGCTTTCGCATGGGAACATACCGTTAGTTCTTAAACCGGCCACATAAGGCGCTGATGTCGCGAGAAACGGTGGCGCCATAGCGGCACACACTGAAAGTATTAACGAGACATCACTGTATTAACATCTGTAGGCCATGGCATCCCCGCCATAACGGCAAAGTCCAGTTGTTGTTGTTTTTCTTTTCTTCTTTTTTCTTTTCCTTTTTTTTTTTTTTTTTTTGCTTTTATCTTGTGTTTTAAATAAAACGAAGCAGGCAAGATAGACAAACATAGTTATATAAGGGCCGTCAGGTTCCCATTTTCGGGTGAACAACACAGCTACAGATTGTAATAAAATTCTCAAACCGCCACTTTTTGTTAGCTTCCCGGAGGACTGCCAAAGTGCTCCCCAGAAAAGAAGACACTGTTTTTCGGCTCGGGTAAATAAACTTAGCATCGCAGGAAGCTCGAACTTTGTGAGAACGTGACACTAGCTGTTGACATAGAAAGCGGAAGTTTGAAAACATGACGTTACCTAGATGAAAGGATAATTGAGAAAAATCGAAAATTCCTTATGCGCCAACGTCCACCTAAGCCTAATATCGGTAAAACAAAAAATGACATTGTGTGTGCCCGTGACATATAATTCAATAAAACAACTTGTCAGCAAGAAGGAAAACATTATCGCCTTTCTTCCTGATAAGTGTCTTAAACTAATATAAATGCCACGAGCGTCCACAATGTAAGTACTTGTTTTGATGATATTATGCTTAGGTGGACGTCGGCCCACTGTACTCTAGAACAGTTCGGGCTCTGCCCTTATTTAGGTGTGAGTGACTCGAATAACGTTCTTTCTCAAAATTGGATGATTCCAATAAACGGTACTGCGAGCTGCACGCCCAAGCGGCCTCCCTTCAATGTACCACATCATTTGTTCTCCAATCTTCACCACTGCTTTTTGTTCGGGATTTGTTCATTTACGCACCGCTCGCGAATGGGTGGTCAAATCTACCATCGCGTCTTTGTATAGAAAAACACAGGGTGCCGTAAATTTTCCAGAAGGGCGCCACTGTAGTTTAATGATGTGAAGACGTATAAGATGCGTTTACTGTGTAAGCGAGGTCCAACAGCGTCCAACATGGTCCACCTTTGGGACGGGTCCTGACGCGGACCAGTTGGGTCCGACAAAGCAGCAACACCACGACGAGGACGCTCCACTTGACCAACCGCGACGCCCGCACTGTTCTGTCCGCACAGGGTGCCTGAAAGGATCGACGCCAAGAACGTGGTTCACTTGCGCTGCTTAGACCCACACCGCTTAAACAGAGGTCACGCTGTAATACATTATACAAGAGGCAGCCCCAAGCAGCACACATGGTCCATGGTCCCCCGGACATCCTCAGGATGTCCCGACGTTCCAGGGATGTCCTGTGGATGTGTATAGGACATCTGTGCTGCTGGGGAGTCTCTAGGCACTGTCTGAGGTGTACCCCAGGCAGCACACAGTATTGGGCCAACATTGAATTTGATGTGGCAAAGAATGGCCCAACAATGGCCCAACTGAGCCATATGTTTCCCAATATTGGTATCACATTGGCCAATAATGGACTATCAAAGCCAATGTGTTTCCAATATTTGTGATACGTTGGCATTGGCTGATCAACACTAGTCTGCAGTGTCAAAGCCAATAACTTTCCAATATTGGATATACGCCGGCATAAGCTGTCCAATATTGGACTGTCGGAGCCACTGGCTTTCTGATATTGGCTATACGCCGGCATAAGCTGTCCAATATTGAACTATCAAAGCCAATAGCTTTCCAATATTGGATATACGCCGGCATAAGCTATCCAATGTTGAACATTTGGAGCCAATTGATATTTAATATTGCGTATACGCCGGCATAACCGGTACACTATTGGACTGTCACTTATTGGACACTTAATCCCACTAAGACTGTTGTTATGTCATTTGCTAAGAAGCTAAGGCTTTTTCATTTCTGTTACCAACTGGGCATAATGCCCCATTGTAAAGGGTGGATTGCACTCGTGATCCCGGAGTTTATACAGACTCTTCTTTGTTATTTAATATACATGTCAATAACATTGTCAACGCCTCTTTCCGTACGTTTGGTGTTATATCCAGAATTACACGTGAGTTTTCCATCTCAGCCTGTATTATGCAGTTATACTTGTCATTATTTAAGTTTAAGCTGGAGATTTCCTCGGTTGTGTGGAATTCTATTGGGCGTACGCACCGAGAGTCGATTGAAAATGTCCAGACACGTTTTTTTTTTTCAATTTTTTTACGACCGGTATATCGGTCGCTCTGTTTACTTTGAATATAGAAGACTTTTAGAACGATACAATTGTTCTACTTTTAGTGCCAGACGACGCGACAGAGATCTCATATTTATGTTCAAATTCCTTCACGGAGTCATTGATTGGCCTGACCTAACTTCAGGCATAAATATTCATGTTCCGAGAAGATTTTGGCGAATTTCTTTTCCATTTTATGCCAATCAATTGTTCCAAACCTGCGTCATGACACGCATTCAGACCTTGTATAATACTTTCGATGCTTCATGCCTTGATGTTTTTAACCCATCTTTTGCATCGTTCAAGTTTTCTCTTGCAAATCTATAATATTTAGCCCGTCTTTTCTAGCGTTCAAGTTTTCTCTTGTCAATCTGTAGAATTATTCTTTCTTTGTGCTGTATGTTAATTGTGCATCATTACAAAGTCGAAAGCTGTTCACGAGCACACGAAAAAATAAACAAAATGAATAAATGAAGTAGATAATGTCTCACTTACCGTGTACTTTACTTCAAGTATACTTTTTAGATGTACTTTACGCAACACTGTAAACAAGCAAAAACTGTCTGCAAAA